AGCAGCGGTGCTAGGAACGTAAACGTCGTCGTCGCTCTGCTGTCTGATTAACCGCAGTCGGTGCTCCTCGCGCGACGATCGATGCCATTGAAACGATAAAATCCGGCCGATAAAACGCCGCAATAACCGCGAGGAGTATGTAAACACAGATATGAACCGTCATAGATTACGAGTATTTGGCTATTTTCAATTGAATATTACTTAAAGAAATCGGACTAAATTGTTCGATTATTAAAAGTAATTTGTAAAAAATACAATTTTACAATTAAAAAGACAGTATTAAGTTTATTATTAAACATAAAATCAGTTTTATTTCTGTTAACTTTGTGAACACTCGGGAATTCGTCAAGCTGATTCGGTTTCAAGGTTCTCATCGATTCCTACGAGTCGCACAAAGAACAGCTTATCCTTGCTGTCTCGGTTAGTCCCTGACGCGACGCAATTATCGAAATTACGGTGAATCGCGAGGCATTCCAGTGATTCGTTCTCTGCAGTTAATAGTGATAGAATAATAGATAACAACCATTCGTTATCTATCTTATATAGCAGTATTTCATTCATCAATTAACCGCTGCAAATTCTTGATATTTTTATGCATTACACGTGATTCGATTTTTCGATAAATACATTAAAACGAAAATTTGTTATAAACGTGTTGGATGCATGAATTAAATCTGTTCATCACTGTAACGTTTTTCCTACATGTTTTCCCAAAATAATTGATGTCGATTTTTATTTGACTCGGTGAAGCAGCAGTTTTTCGCGTGAAAATTCCCAACCGTTCTACCGTCGAGTTGAAAAAAAAAACAGCGGATCGTGCAAATAATGTCGCGAGCCGTGCTGTTCGAAGCGTGCAGAATTTTTCTCCCCTTTTTCGCTCGTTTCCCTCTTCGACATTGTTTGTTAGAAATTGTCGCATCGGCGGTGACCGTAAAATTTCGCGGACGAATTGAAAATTTGATGCGATCCATTTTATCGTCGCATCATCGTTTCAGGAGTTTCAGATGGACGTGTTAGTATAAAAAATTATTATGTCCATAGGTTGAATATTTTTTTTTGATTGACACTGGCGAATTTCCGAATTTTATGCTCTCGGTTTCCAGTTTGTTTTGTTCGAAACTTTTGTCCGTTTTCCTAACGAATTTTCAAACTAATTCGTTCACCTTACGTTCTCAGATTTATCTGTTTATAGAGTGTGAACAAATAAATAAATTTGTTTAGTTAATTGGTCGAGTTTAGGATCTTTTTATTGGTACAAAAATTATTGTAATACNGAAAAATTTGAAATCACTATAATTTTAGCTTTTTAATAGTAATAGGAATCTATTATAACAAATTCAACATGCCAGCATTTTTTAAGTATATGTATAGCCTGTACATCCTTAAGTAATCGATTGAACTTTATTTTGAAAAAGAAAATCTGAACAAGTGTTTTATCAGATTTTGTGTGGAAACGAAGGAAGCGACACATACAGATGGTTTTGTTTGAGGACGAAACAGTTTAACGATCGATGGAATCGGAAAATCCATTCGGTGGGCCAATTAACGTCTAATTACAGGCGCTCGTTGCGCGCCGGAATTCGGGATTTAGGACGACGAGAACGGATAATTTGGCCGGCTCGCGGAACAGATGATTAACCCAGTTTTAGGAAAAGTAAGTTTTACCAGGTTAATAGCTTCCGGGCTGATAAGAGGAACTGTTACAACCATTTTCTCTATTTCTTCACCCTCTCTTATACACGGAGGCACGTACTAAATTTCCGAGCATGATTGCCCTGGTTTCTACCACGCTATGTGTCATCTCTTTCATTAGTTTTCTATTCCATTGAATGGCACTCTGATCTTCTTACCAGATATCAAATTTGAATCCAGTGTTCTAAAGAAGATATCTTCATTGAAGACTCATGATATAGCTTGCTGTATTATATCAAGTAAAGCCATAGTGGTGACCTTTATGTAGTGGTATTTTATGTGCACAGTGCTGTTCACTTGAATAGCCTCCAACAGCTGAAACTAGTTTTTCTTAGCAAAGTGTACATAACTTGAATAAAATTATAGATATATAAAATGATTAAACGTAGAATTGTTGCAAATGTTTCTTCTTTCATCTATTGCAAAGCAAGTACTGACTGTGACTAAACACTTGGGACTATTTATGTGGAAACTGAAAGCCTCTAGTGTTAATAATAACAACGTAGTTTTTAAGTGTATAAAACAAATTGTTGTCATTTACTAATCCATGTTGTAAATGAATCTAACTAGTAAGCAAGAATATTGACCATAATTTCTTTGAAATGAGTATAAATGTGTGTATGTATATGTAAATCCTTATACGAGGCTATTCAAGTGAAGAGTACTTTGTGACTTGCATTGCATGTCTTATTACATGTCTTTTGGCAGAAATCTTATCACTTCATATAATAATCAATTAGTAATTAAACTTCAATTCAGTTATTCAACTTGAAAATCATGCCCTACATACAAATTGAGAATTGTACCCATCAATGCATTTGAATTCTATTTTATAAACATTTGGTTATCGTTTTTATTATGTACATATGAATGTAAACGATTTTATGAACCCATTGACGAATCTTGTTTCCGTATCTTAAACATTTAACATTCGAAGTTTTTATGGTTCTGGGAGCGTAAAATCGTTCTCGTGGCAATAACCCGGATGCTCCGAGCACTGCACGTGAAATTATCTCGAATCCGATACGGAATTCTCTGGCGCAATTCCCGAAGGCTCCGAAAATCGACATTCCCAATTGAATATTCCGCGGTGTAACGTGGCAGCCGCGCGAAGCGACGCGCTCACGATTTATTAACTAGACTCCGTAAAATATTCCTGATTCGATCAATATTCTACGGCAGAAACGAAAAATTCATAGCTCGCTATTTTTCACTTAATACTTCCTTTGACGAATGTAACAAAATGTAGTAAACGGAGAGGTATAAAAATTTGCACGCTGCATAGATTCTTCTATTTTATCCAATATGATGCCATATGTTGGGGCGTCGGTCAGAAACCCTCTTCCCAGCTCTAAAAGAATTGTTTTGTATTTTTTCCCTGAGACTTGAACTTCGGGATTGAAGGGGTTGGGCGAGGGTGTAACGATTCAATTATCGTTCGTTCCCCGGTCGGTGAATTAACGAACTCACCGGTCCTCCGGATCCAAATATTTGCGGAGCACGCGAGCTCTGGAAAAGCGTTCGACCCCTGAACTAATCGAGTTACCTCAGAATGCGAAACTGGGTTAGTCAGCGGGCAAACGAAGGGCTCGCTGCGCCGGAACTCTGTGATCGGTGCTCGCCTTTTAATTTCGGCCAACGTGTTTCCGGGAACGAGCACTTTTCACGGTCGAGAAGAGCTACCAGAGTCTCCGTTGAAACCGTGTCAGGGCCGTTGTGCCGCGAGTGAAACATTAATAGAATCGTCGCTTTCGTACATGAAAAAGAAACTTTTCTGATGAAACTTGGAATTCTGCGATTTTTATACAGTAATTTATTTTATCATTTATACATTCTTAGAAATTTAGATTGATTTCATGTTTAAGAACTTATATTTGTTGGCAATTTAGAGATAAGCCTCTGTTAAAAGGATTAATCGGCACGGGTATTGGAGGGTATAACGCGATAATGAAAGTCGATTTGTCAGCGGTTGCAGGTTGCCCGATAATAAGGCGGGTGTTACCGCGATAAAAGCGGCACCGGTGATTTCCTTGGCCAGGCATTCGCGGACTCCGGCAAGGTGTTAATTAGTGCTAATTAATTGGAGAGAATGCTAATCGCCGCTAATTGATTCGATGTTAATTAAGCCTTTTCGTCGTGGCGATAGGACGAAGCCTCGTCGATATGTCGCGATCGATCAACCACGCGAGGTACCTCGAAAAATGCTTGAAAACCTGCACCCCTTCCAATTCTGAATGCACTAGGCTTATAGAGCTTTTTATACAAATAAATGTCGATGCATTTTTATTTTTCTGTTACTTCTTGCATTATTTTCCGGATATATTATTTACAAGAAAAGTTTGTTTTTAATACAATTATTGGACAATGTTAGTTTATATTAAAAATAGCAAATTCCTGGCTTACAATTGATAACAGTAAAAAATATTTCGTAAGTCTTATTGCAAAACTAAAAGTTGAAGTTTCTAAATAAAAATGATACATGATTAGGTTCGAATTTATAAATAGTAACTATTCATCATCAACATAATTATTGAATTCGTTTATATTAAAAATAGCAAATTCCTGTCTTAAAATTGATAACGTAAGAAATATTTGATAAATCTTATAGCAAAATTAGAAGTAGAAATTTCTAAATGTTAAAACCTTGGATAAAAAGGGTAGATGATCAGGTTCGACGTATTTGAATCTGTGAATAGAAACTACTTCTCAGAGCTGACGCGCACTTTCACTCACTGAAAAGTCTCCGCAAAGCCGCGCACGGTCCTTTAAACTTACCGATTGAAGATGAAAGCTACAGAAAATAGCACGATAGCGTTTTCGATACTCGGCTTACTTACTTCTCAATCGATCGAACGACTTAATCGCCGCTATATCGGATTCCTAAAGCCCATTCCAAGGAGCTATTAAAATACTCCATCGTCACGTTCCATGGAAAGGCCGCACGTGATATCATTTTACCGGTTCAACATCTTTAAACAACTGAGCCATAAATTACACTTAGGTCAATATTATTTAATAATATTTGTATATGTACATACATACCATTGATTCCTCATAGGTAGATCGTGCATTCTTATGCAAAACAGTACATTTATGATAATACAGTTTAGAAAATGCATTCTAAACAATTTCTTTTATTTAATTCATTCATGAAGTGTTATTCAATTGTCATACAATTGATGTCTGCATTTTATGCGTTCCATGCAGAGATCGTGACATAAATTGTCTGTTTTATAATTATATAAATATATTATATTTAAGTAGAGACGAATTTCGTTGTCTAATTTTTGTATTCTTTTGATTTACAGATTCGTCTGGCAAGTGGGAACAGAGTGGACTATTCTGTAACCGTGAGTATCATTTGAAAATATTCATCATTTTTTCAATGTTAATTCTCGTATTATTTCTGAAGGATGCTTTCGCTCAATAATACTCAGTTAAGTAGTGT